AAAAAAAAAAAAAAAAAAACTGAAAAAACCTCTATGTAACAACAAAACAATAACATAACAACATTCAAGCAACATGAAAACAACAGTTACTATAACATAACAACAGTCAAGTAACATGTAAACAACTGTTACTGCATAACAATTCAGAATAATCAATATAAAACAACACATTATTTGATCTTAACATACAGGCTCCACACACACAAGAAAACCAAAACTGGAAGAGTAAACATAATTGACAATAAATTACAACTTCATTCACTAAAAATAATCAAATAATTAATGTAAACACCACAAACGAATCTCATCACAAGAAAATAGAAAACCAAATTAATCTCAAAAAACTTGTATTAACTGAACCCAGATCCTAATATTTAGTAGCACCACATCCACAGAAAAACTATCAATTTTTTGTTCAATTTGACAAAAAATCCCAAATCAACCGCCGTTTTCTCCCCGAACAATTAGACATCTAACGTCACCAAAAAGCAAAGTAAAAGGACCCTAAATTTTTGTAAGGAAATCGAAAGAGGGAGAAAAAAATGAAGATGAAATTGAGAGTGACAGTTACTTGAAATTTTTTCGACTGTGAGAAGTCACCGAAATGCGAATCCTTCCCCTCCAAGGCCGTCGACGGCATCGAATCATCCATTGGGAAATATCACTGAAAAATTGGCGCCAAGTCAACCGCCGTAGAATCGAAGAACGGGACTAGGATGTCGAAAATTGCATCATAATTTTATGGGTGTAGTCGACATGATTTTTGGGCCGAGGTGATAAAATTGACGGGATAAAAAAAGATGAAATAAGATAGAGAGAAAAGTGACGGGAAGAAGAGGAAATAAGATAAAGAAGAAGAAAGAGAAAAGAAAGAGAGAGAAAAGAGATGGAAAGAAAGAGGATACGAGAGACAAAGCATTAATAAAGATAAAAGAGAGGAAACTGCCACTTAATAAATGTCAAATTTTAAAATCTAATAGCGTCCACAAAAGGAGTATAATGGGAAACAAAGAAGTGATATTGTCTAAATAATATGTTAGGATAATAATGAAAAATATTTAAACAAGGAGATAGAGGGTGTCATTAATTCTCATTGTAATTGCAACCTAACGGCTTTTAGGTAAATTAATTATAATTAGACGAAAACTATATCCCTTAAAAAAAGGATACCTTCTCAATCTCATGTGTAACTGGTGGAATCTATTATTATATAAAGAGAGAACCTAAATAATACAAAAATAGTAACCAAAAAATAATTCGGATTCCCGCTAAAAAATATACTAAATATAGTAATTTTTTCAAAATTTTGAGAATATCCCGCTTAAAATGTGTTTCTGAATTTTTTTGAAAATAAATTGAATTCAAACATTTAAAAAAAAAACACATAGGTACATTCATCCGTTTTATCTTATATAACTTCCATATAAACTCCCAATTCTCAAGGTCGAAATTTTCCTTCTCCCCTCTGCCGAGATCGGTGCCGACGATCGCCACGAGCTCTTCATGACCTTCGAAAGCAGGCTCAGGCCAACGTCCACCGAAGCCACCATCTCCGGCCATGTGCATCAGGGACATGTCAAACGGACGTAGGACATGGCGGTTGTTGCTCTCGGTCCTGCTGCCGGCAGCCTGAGTGCCGGGGCGGACCGAACGTGCTGGACATGGCTATGTCGGTCTGGGTGATGGCCATGTTCGGTGCTGGGCAGATCAAACGTGCTGCACATAAAGGCTGAAGAATTTCATTGGTGTTGGCCATGTTAGGACGGCTGGAGAAGGAGGTGCAATGCTCGACTGAGCCCGGCCAAGCTTCGGCTAGAAAGCTGTGTACGTCTGTTCGTGGCTGAGCTCCCGAGTGTTGATGCTGACCAGAAGAGACGAAGAGATGACGTGCTGGCCGGAGAAGACGACCGGAAGTTGCAGGAAGGCAGGAGAAGATGACCGACGCATTTGTGGCAAAATTTTTTGGCAAAACGATTGGGCGATATTTTTCGTGTGACGCGGCCAAGTTGAAGTGGACTCCCGACATTGAATGGATAGACGCAGGACGTGAGTTGCTGGCCGAAATTCTGTGCGGGCTGCTGGAAATGGATGAACTCACCATGACTGGTTGCCTCTTGCGCAAAGGGCTGAGTGGGAGTGGCGCCGAACATGAACGATTCACCCCGGTGACGGATTTTGGCCGGACATGGCTGAAGGAGGCTTGCGGGAAGGTGCTGTGCAGATGAACTCTGGTCCGGGGAAGGAGACGTGCGTGTTTCTGCCCAGAAACTTTTCCGACCATGAAAGTCGGCAAATTTGTTGCCGACTGAGCGGTTCTTTGGCAGAGAAGTGCGTGAACAGTTTATCTGTTTGAGCAAAAAGAATTTGTGTATGCGTGAACTCCTGGATAATAGGAATTAGGAATTAGGAATTAGGAATTAGGAAAGACATGTTCAACTTCCAATATGTTGTTTTCTTATATATTTATTTATTTATTTATTTTTATTGTCATTATTCATTTAATATGACTAATATTTATTTATGGGACTTGCATAATAATTGTTTAATGTGTATGATAATTAATTATTGTTATTGGTAGCATAGATAATTAATTACGATAAATATATAATATGCATAATATTTATTTATGAGATGTTCATATTAATTGTTTAATGTGTATAGTAACTAATTTATTGATATTGGTAGCATAGATAATTAATTACGTTAATTATCCAAAATATTATGATTACATAATTTTTTTAAATCTTTTACAAAATTATGACTCCATGACGTGTTTTGAAATTTTTTATTATTATTTTTTGTACATTAATAATATTACTTTTGGAAAATCCCAACCACACAACAAATGGTTGTAAAAATTTATCAAACTACAACACCTCTTTATAGAATCGAAGAAACTTTTCATTTTCTTTTTTAAAAATCACACCGTCAATTGGGTGTCTATATTTATAAAATTACAACACATACTTACCAATTTGGAAAGAATACAAATCTACATGGACAGTTTAAATTACCTTCTTCGAATTTGAAAAGAATCCAAATTTATATGGATGGTTTAAATTATTTTTGTTAGATAAGAAATTTTGGAAAATTCCGACTGCATAAATTACTGTTAATACTATCTAATTTTCTTTTTTAGGGTTAATATATAAAGAGGCAATGATATTTACTTGAAATAGCAACTAAAAATCAGCAAAAAAAATATTTTGTTTCCCGCCCAAAGTATTTACTATATTGAGTAATATTTTTTGCCAAAATTTGAAAAATCCCGCCTAAATTAATGTACAGAATAATTTTGGTCAAATATTGCGGTTATTACCTTTATTAATTGCATGATTTAAGTTTGGAATATAATATATTGACAAAACTTGCAGCTATTACATTTATTAGTTGCATTGTTTAAATTTGGTATATAATATATTAAAAAAATAAAAATATTTTTATTTAAATTTAAAAATAAAAAATAATTATTCATAACTTACGGGTGAATATTAACTTGGACTAAACGAAATAGTCAATTATTTATAATTTAGTAAATTACTCAATAACTTACGGGTCAATATTAACTTGGACGTAAACGAAATAGTCAATTATTTATAGTTCAATAAATTACTCAACTACTTATTTTTTTTTTATTTGAATAATTTATACAATATAAATTTTATATTTATGCTTATTATTCACATAGGTTGTTAAATATATGATAACATTTTACCAAAATAACTATTATATGGAATCATATATAGTCAAATCGATTTTCTGAATAAAAATTTTGAAATGATACTTATTTTGAAACGAATATAATGTAATTTATTATCAGTAATGTACACCGCACGAGTTGTATACTAATTTTAAATAGATATTTTTTATGTAATTTTGCACAATTTAAACTTTATATAACATTTTAAATAAATTAATATAGGTAAATTATATTACATATTATTCCATATTTTTAATTTATAATATTATTTAACAAGAAATTTTAATTTATAAATATTAGTGAATATCTCTTACCCGTGCACTGCACGGGATTCATACTAGTTTAAAATAAAAATCTTAAAAAATAAATTTTAAAGAACACCATATTTATTTCACATAATTCAATATCCACTCATATCAATTTTTTTAAACGTTTTCTTGTGACGAAAAATCACTAATTTTCAAAAGTTCATAACTTTTTTTTTGTAATCAATTTTTCATATATAATATGTCGAATTAATCATCTTTCAACGATGTTCGATTTGATAGCCATATTGCATATACAAAATAAAATAAACAGTATAATTTATGTATATTAGATTATGCTGTGTTTATGGTGTTTAAATTTCTTGGTGTTTTATTAGAGTTTATGGTATCTAAGAGAGTTTTAGCAAACCAAAAAAGTTGAACAGATAGTAATATGTTTATCTTAGGTTTATAAACTAGTTTTTTGTACTGTAAATTTATAACTAGCTTATTTTTAGTTTATTTTAGGTTTATTAACCAATACAAGAATAACAACACAAATTTATATATGGTTTATTTTCTGTTTATTATACAAAGAATACAAAATGCAAAGTTATATATAGTTTATTTTCAGTTTATTATAGTTTTATATATTAATATTCTTATACACACAAATGAAGCATGAGACATATAAGATACACACAAAGCGGGCAACGAAAACATATACTGAACATATATGACCTGTACACGCAACATATACTGCCAATTGTGCTTACGATAACCTATACTAAAAAATGTACTGTATATAAACGCAACATATCCCACAACATAATAAATCAAACGAAAAAATCCTCAAAAAAACTGAAACATCATCAGCTGAAAAACAAAAAAAACAACAAATTGATTCTTTGTCCTCATATCAATTTTTTCACATAAAAAACCATAATCCCGATCCCCGCCTTTTTCTGCCAAAATGGAGACCTTCTCCTTAAGTCGTCTCTCGATATATTTTTATCGAGTATCATCGAGTTCAGATTGAAAGTCGGCGGCGGCGTCGGGGACGTTCAATCACGCACTTTAGTGCTCGACTTTTTAGATTCACTAGACTTCGTCTTCTTTCCAATTTGAAGATTTTTTTTTTT